ATGCAAACTCTAGTTTGTTCTGTTAACATCCCTCTTCTAAGACTCTCATATAACAAAAGGCCCACCAAACACAAACTTATCTTTGCGTGTGTCTATAGAAATAGAGTCCATGAAAATGGTAGAGTGTGGTAGACATGAGAATGTGCCTCTCCATTCCTTCTGCCAGTGTGGCCAGCAGAGTCACTTCATCCAAAGTCTTATCTTTCTGGGACACCCCATATCCTACAACTGAGCAATGTAGAGTTTTAAAAGCCTATTTCAGGCTGATGCAAGATGACCCTCATGGGCAATTCTCACCCAAGAGCTCTCTGTTGGCTATAGTTTCAGCAGGCCTGTATTGCAATTTAATTTATTTCTTTGCCCAAGCCTACTTTTCTCCACTTCCACAGCATCTTCTTGCAGAAGAGTAAATGAAAGACATACACTAGAAAGAGAATGTGGAAGACAGCATAGGATAGTTTATGCACGATAGATGTAAATGCATTTATTCAAATTGTTGCAGCAAAACATGCCTTTGAAGTATTTTAAGCTTATGTTATTAATAAAGTTTGAAAGTATATCATTTAACAATATTATCCTTTTAGGAACGTAATTAAATGTTTGATTGGTATCAAAACTGGAAAATAATCTGGAACTTTAAAATCATCCCTAGTAATACTGTGCCTTTGATGGGAAAAAGTGTAAAAAAAGCAAATTTGCCAAGATAAGATGGTTGTACATCAACAGAATTTTATGGCAAATTGTACATGGACAACACATGACAAATTAGATGTAAGTTCTTCAGTTTCATATATTATATGATTAGGAAACTAAAATTCTGGATGAGCAGGATTTTTTTTAGAGAACACACACACACACACACACACACACCCCTTTAGAATTTAACATGTAAAGCTTGACATCTGAAAATTTAAGCTTAGCATCAGGAATATATAGGAAAAGGTAATCACACCTGGGAAACTGAATAGCACCAATTTAGTGCCGAGAGTGGCTAGAGAATTGGGATCACAGAGGTTTGTTCAGACATCTGTCCATCAGATGCTGTGATCCATTGTCATATACTTGTGTGACATCAGGTGCACAAATGTATCAGAAAAATTTGTATGGGTATGAAATGTCTTCTTTCCTTCCCAAAATGTATCTTTGTTGACTTTTTGCCACTAAATCAATAGTCTATCCTTGACCTGAATTCAAAACAAGTCATTTTTCAACTCAGGTTTTCCTGCTTTGTGGATATAATTCCCAAATTACTCCCAAGAATAAGCTTTCCATCTCCATAAGGATGTTGTCTAGTGAAAGACTTATAACAGCTCAACTATTGATTATTTCAACCTAAGGATATAATTATATTTCTCTTCCTTATCCTAAAAGCTTTTAATTATAAAAGTCTTGTGCCCACAATTTATTTTCAGAACATGATATACCTGTATTATGCAGAGGATATCATCAGAACAGGGATGGGTACAAATATAAATATTACATAGATTAAAAACATAGTTTGCAATAATAACTCCTTATTTAGCATTCTGTTTAACTCTTTGTCCAATACTGAAAATATTTCAGTTGTCCCAAATGTCAAACCTCAAACATCATACAGATATGTTTTGAACATCGACTATATCCTGAATATTATATAAAATATTAATATGTGACCTGTGGCCAAAGGGAACTTACATAGTAATTTTAAAGTAACCTTCAGAGAGCGGTAAATCACTCTATATCTTGAAAAGTTCAGAAAAAAGCCAAATGACTAAAAATTAGGGAATGACTTTTCTAGGGCCCAGAAGGGGGATACAATTTAACTTTACAGTTAAAAATTTACATTACATTGACCACATACAGTTCATTAACTCTATAAGATACATTCCATTTGGCTTCACACAAATTTTAGGTGGCCTGAAATGTAAAGTTTTCTTTTACAGTCGATCGTTTGTTCTTCTGCCCCTATTGGACAATAGAAAACAGACCTCATTATGTTGGTTATCTTTTCCTTCAACAGATTACTGCCCAGGGTCTCTTCATTTTCCAAAGATTATTTCATTTAGATGGTAGAGACTTGTTCAAAATAAATCATTAATAAGAACCACTTTATTTCTCTTCAGGTAATAAGGTAGGAATTTCACCACAGAAGGCAAAAATCAAAATTTTTCCTGAGTCCTTAAATTCAAATGATAGGTTCTGTGGGTGCCTCATTCACAGGATTGTCAGCCTAGAAAGGAAATTTTCTTTGGTGTGGTGCTAAGCACTGAAATAAAGTCTTCTTACAAGGTTGTCATGGTAACATGCATGCATCACCTGTCCTGCTCACATTTAAAATTTGTTTCCTAATATCTTCCATATGGGTATTTGTTTTTTAAACTTCATATAACCTGTGCTACATTTTGTTAGGACTCATCAAGTGTAGATTACAACTATATTCAATAATTACATTAACTGATTTGCAAACATGCATCCATAACTAAGAATCTACTGAACTCATAGAAATGAGTGTGGAAAAAAATATGACAATTTGTAGTACTGTGTACTTTAGCATCAGGCAAAACTTTAAAAATGCATATGGTTCATCAGTATATTTCAGTCCTGTTATGATAAATTCATCCATATAACAGCAACAGTGGGGTCTGCTGAAAGCTATTGCTAGAGCTGTTCCTACTTGAATCACTACTACCTCTTCAAATATATAGTTTATTCATTATTTTGTGTGATGGACTGGGCTAAGCACTTTACGTACTTGTTTTATCATTAAAACTACCCTGTGAGATGAGCAGCATCATTATTTACAAAGAAAACAACTGAAGCTTAAAATGTAAGCTTCTGCTCAGTATCACACTGGAGATTCAGAATTCAAAACAAGCCTAATTCCAAAAAAGTATGTTTTTGACTGAATTCATGCTACACTTCCTTTTCAGACAGATTCTTCTGAAAACTCATGGGGAAAAAAAAAAAGGCAAGTATTGAGTTAGGCACCAAGACATGCAAACCTCTCTCAGAAATGCTGTTATGAAAAATGCGAAAAGAAACTCCATGTCTAATTTAAGAAGCTGTGCCCTAGGTGTTTCCTTAGGTCACATTTCTCTTAACTAATCATAAACATTGTGATACAAATTATAGAGTAGGAGTTAACCTGTGTACTGGGAACTTTCCTGTGCTGCATAAGATTATGCTAGTCTCTCCTTGGGGAAAAAAAAATACACACACACACACACACACACACACACTTATATCTGGCATTCAAAGGTGCGTATGTTATAAAACCGTTTTGCAACTGAACCCCGTTGTCCTACAGCCTGATCCGTTCAGCCATAAGAGACTTCTTGCCCTGCTTCACTTCTCTCTGAAAGATTTATCACTTTCTAACGTACATATTTTCTACAGAGGATACTGCAATGTTCTGCCTAATACCTTCTTCAGGGAAGACACTCACCCCATAGCTGCTAGAAATTTTGGCTACTGAAGGATTACAGCTTCAACTGTCAATGGGAATTGCTCTGGCCAAAGGGATCTACTTAATGCCACGTTACACCCCCTCCCAGAAGTTAACCATCATCTGATGATATAGGAATTCAAAGGTCAGCAGATTTGCTTCAATTTCTGGAAAGTCTGAATGGCCATCCTACTTTTAAAGTTCTGTGTATGACAGGCAACCATGTTAGTAGTCAGCTTCTTGCTCTTTCCAGTCATTCCTCCCTCGCTTCCTCAGCTGTATATCCCCTGAGAGGACTGGCTGATAAACTTCTGCAACATTTTATTTTTAAAACAACATTTTATTTCAGAGTAGATTTTTATATTAATATAGCTATGGAGGAGAAAAAAAAGTGTTGTTTTCTTTTGAAATTGTAAAGAGATTTGCTGTTATTCCCAGTTCATGCCTCTCATCTTTAGTCTCAGAAAAGAGCGTGTCCCCCTAAGTTTCCATCTTTTCAGTAGCTTTGATCACCCTGATACTGTCGTACCATGAATGGCTTAAAATTATGTTTCCTCTATTTCACTTCATCTCTTTAACCCTTGGCTTTTACATATAGAAATTGGCTCCTCATTTTCAACTTCTGTTTTTTTTTCCCCTGTCATTTTAATTTGAATATCAATTTTCTGAAAAAAAATGTTGTGTCCCCTTCCAAATCAACATTAAAATACACACGTCAGGATATCTATTACCTCAGATAGAGTTGATGGCGTTGGGGGTTCGGAGGTGGCAGACAAGAAATAATTCTTAAAGACATCTTTGTTGCAAAGTGGTGATTTAATTAAAGCATGGGAATAGGACGCGTGGCAGAAAAAGTTATACTGAGGATGTGATATGGATAACTGATTATATACCCTCAGGTTGGGAAGGGGTTAGGGACAACATAAGCCTCTAAAGAATTTTGGAAGCAAAGTTTCCAGGACCTTGAGGGGCTAGGTATTGTTAGGGAAATGCCATTTATTACCATGTAGTAAAATCTCAGTCATGAGATGCTTCAGATGTATATCAGGGGACCATAAGCTTAGAGTATGATTGCCAGCATATATCTTGGGGGTAGTTAAGATAAAAGAAGCTTCCAAAGGAATTTTTACATGTCCAAGTAGACTTTACAGAATCTTGGGGAGGTCAGGATAATGTTAAGCCAAGATTTCCTTTAGCCCTTAGCAAAGTGTCATCCTTGAGGCAACTGAGCTCCTAGAGGGAGGCCACTCTGCCTGTTTAAAGACTTGTCAATGGGAATTCAATTTTTCATTTGGCTTAGTTTGCCACATCACTATGGCAAGCACTCAAACCCTTTTCCTTTCTTCTTGGGTAGCCAAGAGTGTCTGAGGAATATCACACGTATTCCACCTGTGGTGTGGGGTGCTATTAGTCTGTACTTTGCCCTCAGCTTGTCTTACACTCCCTCATCATACCCCCCTCAACAATTTTGACCCTTAAATCTTTAAAGTTGCTGAAGGTGGAAGGTCTCATCTTCTACAGCTTCTTCCTGCTGAATAGGGGCATAGAGATGTCCCTACCTATGGGTCAACATTAGTCAGTCAGGAAGATAAAGGGGTCCCTCAGCCTCCGGGAGAGCAGCAGGGTGGACCAAGACCACGAATGCGTGTACTGTTACCGCGTCAACCGGCGCCTGTTTCTGGTGCCTTCGGATCCTGGCTCCCCTGCCGCCTGTGCAGGACACCTCGGGACCAGCGGGGCCCCGAGACCCTGGTGGAGCCCACGCAGGTCAGGGTGAACATCCCGCTGTCTGTCCTGGACCCTCCGCACCGGCACCGCCTCCACCGACGGAAGAGCTTCAACGCTTCTGACACGCTGGCCCTGCCCCCGGCACTGCCTGATGGGCTGGGATGTTCTCCCTCTGAAGCCCGAGAAAAGCTCAGCCCCCAAGAGCCTGGACCTTTGGTCCTGTGTCTCCTCCGAGGCCCAGAACCGGAAGCTGTCAGCTGCCCGCCTGGCTCAGCCAACACGAGTCCCACCCTCCACCCCATTCCGGTCACAACTCCAGCCTCGCGCGCCCTGGCCGAAGCCCTGAGGACTGGCCACCCGGAGGAGGGCAGAGCCCCTGCCATCCCCCCTAACCCCTCTCCTCTGGCAGGGCACCCACCAGAGGGGAGCCCTGCCTGGCTTCAGCTGGAGGTGAACGTAGTCCCCACCCTCTTGGGTTGGGCAGGTGGATGGGCTCAGGCCCTTCTCCTTCCTGGAGACAGAGGTGGGGACTCCAGGGTTGGGGGGTGCGGGTGAAAGAGGATGGGATGACATGTTTGTAAATAAAGCTCAGTGCCCTCTGAAAAAAAAAATACAGTGGAGGGAGCTGAATCCATGGTGGACAACATGCATTAACCTTGTTGAGTAAAAAGGATCATCTGTTGGCTTGAAGTTATTGTAGTGGTGGAGTGTTGGCACCAGGAAAAAGAAGGATTATATAAAGCACCACGTTGAGTATTCATGTCAGCTAGAAATCAAGAAATCATTTTGTGGTAATCTGGAATGTATACACAGCATTTTGTTTTTATGAGAGTATAAGTGCCACCTTGTGCAGCACTTAAAATATCTAATGTCATTCTATTTTGTAGAACTGTTTTATGCATTTGAGTTTAGTATTTAACAATATAATTCTATTTTGAGAGTCATTTAAGGCCTTAACTGTGTAGCAGGTTGTGTATAGTCATCATATAGACTATGCTCAGTAAGCAATTAAGTAATTAATAAGGCATTTTTTATAGAAAAAAGAAAAATATAGGTTAATGGTTAGAACAAATTACAAACCCAGTGTCTACCAGTGCTGCCAGTGAAATTTTTAGATGTCAGGCTTGAAGCATTCAGACTGGAGTGGGAACAAGCAGCAGGAATCAGATTGGTCTTTGTGGTTTGTAACTCAAATGTCTGTGGTGATCCATTTGAATGGCTCATTGTAAGAAGGAATTGTTAGTAGACATTGGGGAAAGGAGAATGAAAAAGAAAGATACAACCATCACAAGAGAAGTTTGAGGTTTTCCACAGGTTCACAGGAATAAGAAGTCGCAATAGTTTGCTCACTGATTTCCTATAAAGGGAGTGCAGGTTTTATTTAGATACAGGAGCCCATGAAGAGTGCTCTTCTAACTTTACTGCAGTGGGACTACATAGTATGACCCAGTAGGGGCTCTTCCATTTTGGAATTAAATCCCCTGATGTATTGGGAAAAAAAAATCAAATAAACCAAGTGTTTTGGATTTATATGGGGTGGGTGTCAAGTAACTATAAGAACAGGTTTAGGGAGGACATGGTTTGCATATTTAGAGATTTATGAATTAACCCAGCCTCAAGTGAATAATTTAATAAAGCACTATAGTCTTTATCTATTGATAGGTCTACAGCAAGAAAAGTCTTTGCACACAATTGTTGGGGGAATCCATCCCACTTTCCAATTGTTTAAATAATATGTCTTTGAGGTTATTATTTCCACAGAATAATAAGCAAGAAGATTGTCCATACCTGTGTCATTGTGACCATTTTTCTGAAGTTTACCTCAAGTGTCTAGTTTAGGCAAACCACAAGCATTTAAAGATAATCAGAACTAAAATTTAACATCCATAACAGTGCTTTTTGAAACATAATTTTTCTCTCTAAAAACCCTCATTTCCAGAGATAGCCAAATCAAGACTAATTCGCTTGTAAAACAAGTCTAATTTTAACTTGGGCTTATTATTTACATAAGCTCAGCAAGAATAGCGATTGATCCTAAGGATCTTTTAAAGTTTGTTGCTGGGACCTTTAATAAGGAATCTCCAGACTGAACTTTTAGTAGCCTCTCCAGGCCAGAAGCCAAGCCAAATAGAAAGGCCTGAAATAACTGTAGAATTGGGCAAATTCCTCTTCATGAGGTCCCCAAGATATCCTGAGGTTCTTGTACCTGCCAGGAAGTGACCTTCTTCACTCACCTGGTGAGGCTGCTGGGAACTCTGTAAGCAAGGTATCAGGCCAACATTTACAAGATGCTTTATGACTCCATGTTTCATAAAGTCAACCTTAGTTCCTTAGTGCTGTATGGTCACATCTGAGGCTATGAATGTCTCTCAAATATGACATTCCGGTCAAAGCTTTGGTAAAATAAACAGTATTTCCAATGGTGTCCTGTTCTCCTTCCAAGGAGAAGATTCTTATTGAGCTTATGCAAACAATTATAATTGCCATGAAAGAAGGAATACTCCCTGAGAGTTTTTTTGAATTTTAGAGGGTTTAGGTAGAGAGAAAAGAAAAATGCTTCAGTTTACAATTGAGTCCTTAATTTGGAAAAGCAAACATTAGAGAACCAGCAATATTTCCAACAAAAGTCACAAAACTATAATATTCCTCAATTCATTTAGTCCCATGTTCCTAATTCATGTTCAATTTGAAGGCAGCTTTTTTTGTTCTGGAATTCTTACACATTTTAGTATTAAACTTAAAGATATCAAATATCTGTTATTTGTTCTAAAAGTCCTGTGTCTAAATCTCTTTGAAGATGAAATACATTTTTTGAGAGAATAAGAACAATTATAAATGACAAAATCTCAGAAATAGACATTGTTAAAGATCTGATGAGAGTTCATTATGATAAGATTCACATGGAAATTTGGTTACTTCTGTGATACATAACCTTCAATAATCACAATATCAAGTGAGGACCTTATACCAAAACATTAAAACTTTAGGAATTGCATATATATTTGAGCAGTTATAGCATTTACCCATGCAATACAACCTAAGATTTACCATTACTTGACAGTGTTTTTTTGAAATAACTTAGCATACCAAATAAAAAGGCCTAGTTGGTCAAAAAGACTTCATTTACAATTTAAATCTTGGAAGCTTTTAAAATCTTAGAAAGTTATAAAGCACACCTGACTAGAATTACTATTACAAATCTTAAAACTTTATTTATTTAACCAAGGTGGCAATAAGAGATTCCAAAAGCAAATATGTAGGGTTATATAGTAGTTAACAAAGCTGAGCTCCTTTAACATTGAGAAGTTTTAATTAAGTGATCAACCACCTGAAGAAGACAAAACTTAAGCTTTGCTTTCCCCAGCAGACAAAAGAGAAACAACCACAACCACAACCACAACCACAACAACCACAACAACAACAATGTTGTTTACATTTTATCAAAAGCAGATCAACAGTCCAAGAAAACTTTGTCTTTTGAATGGAGAGAAAAGCAGAATTTTAATCTTATGCCAGTGTACTTTTAAAATCCGTTTTTCTCGGGGCGCCTGGGTGGCGCAGTCGGTTAAGCGTCCGACTTCAGCCAGGTCACGATCTCGCGGTCCGTGAGTTCGAGCCCCGCGTCGGGCTCTGGGCTGATGGCTCAGAGCCTGGAGCCTGTTTCCGATTCTGTGTCTCCCTCTCTCTCTGCCCCTCCCCCGTTCATGCTCTCTCTCTGTCCCAAAAATAAATAAACGTTGAAAAAAAAAAAAAAATAAAATAAAATCCGTTTTTCTCAACCTTAGTCTATCCTGACCACACATAAATTTCCTTTCCAAAGATTACCCTTCAAGAACCTTCTACAACTTTCCTTTGCATTCAGATATTGTCCCAAGCCATTTCTCTCCAAATAACCAGTCTCATTTAGGACAAAATTACTTTATTTTACCTTCAACAACAACAAAAATGTACTTCCATTCCTTGTATCTTTTTTACACATCTCCTATTTTCTACATACAGAGTTGCTTTCCTTATTTCCATTAGTCTTAATATACTTAGCAGAATTTTAACTCTTAGAAACCTTAATCTCTAATGAAAACTTAGTAACCAATTGAGAACAGCTACACCAGATTTTTTTTGGGGGGGAGGGGATGGTAAATTTATCAATTAAGCACAAAGCAGGCTTTGGATAGTAAAATCTTAATAAAGCACAAAGCACATTTACCAAACCCAAATAGTCTTAGTTTCTCTGCAGTAGGTCAAAAGAACAAACCTATATCTAATAATCAATGCTTTAGCTTGTTATCTCATTAGATATCCAATGAATTCAATCCCATTTATCATGCAAGCAAAATTTTAATGTTTCAGGTTACCAAAGACTTTGAAAGCTATCTTAAAAATTACCCATGAAATCTTTGAGACAGACAAAATTAACCATTATGTTAAGTCATCTTTTTGCTAACAAATTGCAGCAGAGATAACATGAGATTATTTGACCTTTAGTAAACCTTGGTAGAATAAAAAATTCATATTTAATGCTGATAACTCTAAAGAAGTGTCCAACAAACTTAAATTACTTTAAACAAATATGTTCCACTTGGGTCCACTTAGAAAGACACTCTGATTCCCATTGTCAATTTTTACCTGGGAGATCAGTGCGAGAATCTTAAGCAGGTAGTCTGAGTGGGTGCTTTTTGCTCCTTGATATTGAAACTGGGAGGATAAGCCAATGGTATCTTAGGCACATAGCATAGGAACCATTTATGTAGGCTGCACCCAAGATGGTGCAGAAACAGAAGGGAGAGGGAAGGCAGAAGAGGCCAGTTGCCAGCAGAAGGCAGAGAAGGAAGATTCCTGGTTCTAAACCTTGTCAGCCTGGACAGAGTACCAGACACCATGTTTTTCTTTTAATTTTTGTTTTTTTTCCTCCAAAGTGGAAATATGGAGTCCATGTCAAGCCAGAGAAGACAGGGAACTTCCCTAAAACAAATAGAGTTTCCACAGCTGCTTGGGAATATTCCTTAAAGTTCCTGTCCTGAAGTAGACTAACCATAGTTGGCTCCACTTGTCATAGCCATAACCTCAAAAAAATGAATGAGGGAGAAGTCCTCACATCTATTAGGAGGAGAAACAGAAAGAGTCAGCTTTTGTCATGTCAGGAGTGGCCTGTGTTTCCTCCAGTGACTGAATTCCATCAGGAGAAGGCCTATTTAGTTAATTATCATCAAATATGTCAGGAGGGAGTTTACCAGCCTGGTTACTGACCAAACACATTCTGCAAGAGGCCCTTGAGTTCAGGTCTTGATTTAGAGCTGTGAAGGCCTGAACCTAGAGTACCTCCATCCATTTGCAGTGTTATAGAAGATC